TAATATAACTAATGTAAAACGCGAATATCTATAGCTGCGAAAATAATATTGTTATTTAAACACAAAATTGATTTATACGACACACTCTACTAGCCCTATTAATTCTGGAATTTTAGGTATTTTGCTTTTCCTTTGAAAAGGTCAAACGTTAAAATAAAAATATGCCAAGAAAACGTCAGTACATCCAACGTTATTATGTATGAATTTGAAAATATTCAAGATGATTTTAAGCAGAAAGAGCATTACTTATCGTCATCTTAGAATGATCTGATAAATGTTATAATGAATGATTCGACTTCGAGTACAACAGAATAAGTTATTTGTCCAGTTACAACGAGTAATTTAACCTTAAGCTAATGTTGAGTCGAATCAAAAGATACGTCATTTTAATATGATGATCAAAAAATTCATCACATTAAAATATTAAAAATGTTTAAAGTATACCAAAATTTTTTAATTTAAAAATTAAAAGATTTAAAAAACAAAATTTATTTTTTCTGCGTAAGGAACATTCAGAATATTTCGTAAGTTTTAATTTTTGTAGTTTCAAATGTACGACATTAAAAAAATGAAACTATTTATGTTATAACTTTGTTTTAGATCTAATTTTTATTTTATATTTTAGCTGTAATTTGAGTTTAACTAAACAAGTAAAAATATCAATAGCGTCGCCAAAGTAATAATTGAACGAAATATTAAATAAACTTGTGGACAGAATGAAGTATTTAACCAGTTTCAATAGAAGTCAATAAAAAGTTTTTGTACTTTTCGATAGCTTAAATAATTAATATTTTTGATATTAATTTTTTATTATCTTGAAATGTTCATAATTTGAAAAGGCCATATAAGTGCTCAAATTTTAAAGAAGCCATAGAAATGCTTAACATTAGAAGAAGTCATATAAGTACTCAAATTTTAAAGAAACCATAGAAATGTTTAATATTAGAAGAAGCCATATAAGTACTCAAAATTTAAAGAAGCCATAGAAATGCTCAACAATAGAAGAAGCCATATAAGTGTTCAAATTTTAAAGAAGCCATAGAAATGCTCAACAATAGAAGAAGCCATAGATATGCTCAACAATAGAAGAAGCCATAGAAATGTTTAATATTAGANTAAGTGTTCAAATTTTAAAGAAGCCATAGAAATGCTCAACAATAGAAGAAGCCATAGATATGCTCAACAATAGAAGAAGCCATAGAAATGTTTAATATTAGAAGAAGCCATAGAAATGCTCAACAATAGAAGAAGCCATAGAAATGCTTAATATTAGAAGAAGCCATATAAGTACTCAAATTTTAAAGAATCCATAGAAATGCTTAATATTAAAAGAAGCCATAGAAATGCTCAACATTAGAAGAAACCATAGAAATGCTTAACAATAGAAAAAGCCATAAAAATGATTATAACTTAAAAAAGCAATAGAAATGTTTAAATTTTAAAAAGTCATTGAAATGCACAGATATATGTCATTGTTTTTTACATTTTATATTATTATGAAATCATATTAATGACATATTAATATAATCTGCTGTTAAACCTAAAAAGCTGTTAGTTTCAGCTACCGAAAATCATTCATGTTGTTCACTAAAATCTTGTTGAGCTACATACTAGCTCATAAGTACAAGATACTAGCTCATATGAATATTTTCCTGTGACTGAGCAGTATTCATATAACAACTGTTTTTTATGTCATCTTTTCTATCTACAGTTAGATGAATATACTTGACAAAACTTGGTATGAACCAGTCACAAGTATAATAAAATACAATCTCCTTTCCTTACGAGCATAATTATGCTCATACATTATTACTATGCAATTAATTGTAAAATGATACATACAAAAGTAATCGACCTTTTTTATTTTTATAACAAAATACTAAATAGGACATTCATTTTTGGTTTTACTCAATTTTGCATTCGATTTTTTCAGTTTCGATAATTAAAATTGAAAATGGATAATTTTCTTTATTTGAATAAATTTAAATTTGTACACAAAAACGATTTATTTTTCATAACTATTGACTAGTGATAAAAATAGCAGCACACATTCCTTACTATCAGTCATAAGTTTAAATTTACAATAACCTCTAAAATACTGGTCCAAAAGTTGTTATCAAGCAGTCATTTTCTTAATTAGATTAATTTTTATTTAATAAGCTAGTTAAATATCTATGTTACCATATAAAAAAAAAAGGTTGACACCCCTTTAGGTTACAAGGGATAATTCTAAAAATTAATCATTGGCTGATAATTCAAAAAATATATGCAACTAAAAGAAATTAAAAAATCTTTTCTAATATTATATTTACCCGCTCGGGGTGTTCTTTTTTGGATAACGGGTGTGACAATTCCGCAGACCCCAGTCAGGTGATGGCGCAGCCTGAAAAATGTCAGGATCGTTTCAGATAAGTAGTTGGACACTAATTTCGTGACCGTAAAGCACCACCACCTTTAATTGGGGTTTACCGTTGGGCTAACTACTCAACTTAGTAAAAAACAATATGGTTCCTAGACAAGACACACAACAGCCTCGGATGAATAATAAGTTGAAAGCGTTGAGTATTGGAACCTGCAACGTGCACAAGCTTTATGCAACAGGCGCAATGAAGTTAATTATTTCAACTATTAAAAAATACAAAATAGATATAGTAGTAATACAAGAATTATATATTATTATGTTCTAGGAGGAACCACACATAATCAGATAGATCATGTGAAAGTAGATAATCAAATAAAACACTGGATTCAGGACGTGAGAAGTTGTAGAGAAGTAGGCTCACACTCAGACTACTTCTTAATTAGGATGAAACTACCCAGAGAATGGACAACAAAATTATTAAATACAAAAAACTAAACTTAAAAAGTCTTAAAGAAGAATAAACGCGGAAAAATTACCAGAATGAAATAATAATACAACTAAATGAGAGACCGCAACTGAACAGAATAGATAGAATAAGCTCAAAAAAACTATCATATTGGCAGCAATGAGATCAATTGGATACAGAACAAAGAAAAAAGTAACATTTAATGAGAAATGTAAAACGGCAATAGAAAATAGAGATAAAGCGAAAATTACGGAAGTAATCAAAGCAGGGCCGGATTTAGGGGAGGGCTGAGTGGGCTGCAGTCCAGGGCCCCCCACAAATTTGGTATACATTGGTATCACAAATATGATAATAATTGTTATTTAATAAGTAAAAAAATATATTTCCTTGTTTAAGTATAAGGGGCCCCCACAATGCATTCCTCCCAGGGGCCACCACATACCTAAGTCCGCCCCTGAATCAAAGACAATAGTAACGAGAAAAGGAACTTGCTAACCCAAAAACAGAGAGAGGTTAAAAGAACGATCAGAAAAGAAAAAAGAATATGGGAAGAAGAAAAAATTAGGAGAATAGAAGAGGAATATATAAATTCAAGAAATTTCTTCCGAAAAACCAACGAGCTAACGAGAACTTATAAACCAAAAACAGCCATCATGAAGGACAAGAACGGAACACTAATAACCAAGGAGACAGAAATAGCAAGGGAATTTAAGTGTTCTAAAACCTACTAAACTAGACTTAAACAAATACATCAGACAAGAAATATATAGATCGGAGAGTATAAATTTGAAAAAGTACATAGTTTTAAATATCTTGGTACAAAACAACCAAACAGCCAAAACAACAATTACGAAGAGTTTAAGAAACGTGTTCTAGCAGGTAACAAATGTATACATGTACTATCTAAATGTCTACGCTCAAAGAAATAAAAAGTAATAGCAAAACCTATCATAATGTATGCATATGAAACATGGGCCAACAACGTTAGAAGATGAGAGAAAATTAGCTATAGTAGAAAGAAAGTTTCTAAGGAGGATATGTGGACCTAAAATAAATAATGTAACACAAAGATATGAAATAAGATCAAACGAAGAAGTATATAATGCCTTTGGAGAACCAAATATGATTGGTGTAATTAGAGCCAAAAGACTAAGCTGGCTAGGTCATATACCATGGTCTAGAATGATTGCAAAGGAAGCCCTTAATTAGAAGCCACAAGGAAAGAGGCCCTCAAGCAGACCTAAAAAATGATGGTTTGATAAAGTCTCAAAGGATCTAACAACGATAGGATTTGAAAACTACAGAGAGGTAGCAATGAATAGAGAAAGATGGAAGAAAGTGCGTGTTGCAGCAATGGACCTTAACGGTCTTTAAAGCTGAAGAAAAAAAAAATTGTAACTATTATGCGAGTAATCTAGTGGTTTATAATAAACCGATCATTTTGTATTTGTTTAATAACAAAACATTGCTAATGAAAATTGTTTTACATAAAATTTATCATTAATGTTTTTCTTTTGCAATGAATAAAATTTTATTACTTCAATTTGAGGCAAACAATTGTAAATGAAGGTATTTAAATTTCTACAAATTTTGTAAAATATCGCAAAACTTATAAAAATGTTATTATAATTATTAAAAATTATTTTACACAACATTTATTGATTACGTGGCAACAATAATTTCTGGTAACAATGGAAATTGTGAATCAAAACAATTAATGCATTTAATTTAAATAATTAAATAAAAATCATAATTAATATACTAATTAATAATTTCATGGAAATAAAGTACAAATTTCAAGTTAACAGAAATATGAATACATAATTAATGAATATTTAACAATACAACATTTAAAATTTAATGCTATGATTTATTGTTGAGAATTTTCAAATGAATTTAAAAAAAAAGAAATGATATAATATACGAATTAATAAAATTATGTCTTTGTATTACAAGAATCAAATTTACATTTTCAATAATTCGCTACAAATAATTAATTATAATATTTTTGCGGTCTAAACTTACACAAACTAAATTAATTATACAATAGTTTATCCATAATTAATTAATTATCCATTAAATTTATTCAAGCTATATTATAATAACTTATGACATAAAATATTATAAATGGGAATTGAAATATGCCTAAAATAAGGAATATTTCATGAATATTTCAAAGCAATTCGAAACGATGCAAGTTGTTCGGTTAGAAATGTCGACTTATATTACCTATATTCTACCAATATTATTCATTTTTTTAACAGTTTTATTATTATTGTTAATATTGTTCAAATTATTTTTTAAATTAAGAAATAATCTCAGACAAAGGTTACTTACAAGATCCATACCTGGACCAAGTACTTGGGATTTTATTAAGATAATATTACGCACGAGAGAGCCTGAAAAAATTTTTAATTTTATAACAGATATATTTAGAAAGCAAGTATAATAATCACGTGGAGTTTTTTTTAGAGACTTATTGCATTATTAATATGTATTTACTGTCGTCTGCTAAAAGATGAATTTTTTATGAAAGGATTACTTTTTTTTTCTTTAAAAATTCAACTTTTGCAAATAGACAAAAAATTGATAACTATGCTAATTGAAAATATTATATCACTATCTAGAATTATTTTTACAGATATGAAAATACATTATTCAAAGTATGGTTAGGGCCTTATTTGTGCATATTTCCAACAAATCCTGAATATATTAAAGAAATGTTGATACATCCTAAAATACAAAAAAAAGGTATTTTTTACTCTTCTGTTCGAAATTCATTTATTGGGAATAGCTTAGGTACCATCGACGATACAACAATTTGGAAGAGACACAGGTAAAATATTTTTATACGCCAGAGATAAAGTATCATGAGTTTTTTTTTTTTGTATAATTTTAATTTACAGTTTATTTAAAAACATTACACTTAATTCACGCGTATGCTTATCGATGAATAACTAAAGGTATAAAAAACTCGCACTGCAATCTATTACCTAGATGACTCTGTCAAGAATAATATTTATCGTTTATAGAGTAATACTCTATATCATTATAGACTCTATAATATAGAGTAATCATTAGTTCTATTACAACAATTACAGATAATGCAATCTTAATCTAAATTTCCATAATAAACGAAAACCAGAGAGCCACTCTTTAAAAACACATACTTATAATCATAATTGGACATAATCCTTAAATAGCAGCTAGTAAATTATTCAGATAGGTCTAATTAAACACAGAACGTGACAATAGTGAATTTTGAAACTCACACTAACTGAAATAATTACGAGTCTAATATACTAATATATATATATATGTATAATTGGAGCGAGTAAAACATTTTTTTGTACAGAATCCCTCTCATTTAAAAATCCTACGACGCTACCGAATATTATCGTAAACTAATTTGATATTAAATGCATCAGTGTTTTCAAGGCTAAGTGGCTCAAACGACAATTTAAATATTATTAGTTACGGAAAATTATAACTTGACAAAAAAATAAACTGTGTAACGTAAAAACATCATAAGTTGTTCAGAATTTCAGATGAAAATATAAATTTTAGTAACGGGAACTGTAAAATTATTATTTGGAACATAATTGAATTATGTCGGTGGCCACTTGTAAACAAATGCGAGACGCCAGACATCTTTTCGAGACATCTGAACATATGATCGTATACATTAGTCCTTATGAATTCCTGGTACTAAATTTCACAATTGTAACGAAATATCGTTACCGGTCTAAAATATTAATTATGTAAACGTAATGGGTTACGTTTTCATGCAAATTTCATACCAAAGTGTTTTATGGCCATAATTATATTATATATCATATAATTATAAATTATACTTGTATTGGCGTAATATTACAAAAGACGTAACTGACATATGTCATTTACAGCTGTCGGGTGCACTTCTCTCGACTTGGTACAGTCAAGTGTCGTTGTAGAGTAGCCTAGTCGGTGACGCGCATTGGTCACCAGGCTATACATACAACATGGCAACTAAGGTTAGGAACTTCAAGACATTTGCATATCTTAAAATATTAGTGAACTATGTATTTTTGGCAATTTTTTTTTTTTACATTTGTATAAAATATAATTATCTAAAATAAACAAATAAATTCTTATATGAAGCACCATAAGTGTAATTTGGAGGGCTTGAGTGCTTGTCACCTAAAAATCATAAAAATGACATGCAATTTATGTAGAAATACTTTTTAGGGAGAGGAAAAATTACATTAGACCTCCCAATAATTTTGTTTAAAATAGCGCTTAGGTTAAAATGAAAATACCACATAACATAATCAAATAACTAAATCATACAAACTTTGTAAAAAATTACGTTTTTTGGTAAAATTAAATAGTTATATAGCTTATTCATTTTGTGATTTTATAAGAAACGCTGTGGCTTGTTGTTTCAAAACAAATAATTTGAAATATTGTGTATCAATAATGAACTCATATGCTGATAATATATCTCAACATATTCAAAACAACCGAAATATGAACTCAAACGAATGCGAAATATTTAATCCCATTGTGACAATGGCAAGAAGAAGTATCATAAAGGCATTATTTGGAGTAGAAATGAATTCTGATGAACGTAAAGAAATTGTTGAAAATATTGAAATATCAACAGAGGTATTGATAATTCTAAACACAGTAACTGATAACTTCTTCAGCTTTTTTTTTTTTGTGTATAAACCTAAATTGAAGGAGAGCTTTTTTCATTACATAGACTTACCTCAAAGAAGTCTCATCAAAGCCTATAGTTTTTCTTTGGTCGCTAGCTAAGATAAATACATTAGAAATTATGTAATTATAAAATTATATTTACTATTGCAAAATTACCTTTGTACTAGCTAAGTGTTTTTATATATTCAGAAAACGATAAAAAATTTTAATGCAAGTCGAGTTAATAAAGTGATAAATAAAAATTAATATCTTGGGCGATATATATTTTTATGAAGGTCAGTTTGAAAATGTAAATATTTATATATATATATCAATAAATATATTTATTGATATTCAAATTTATATTTTTCATTACTATGGTTATGAAACAAATTTAATCATTTATTTAAACCAACTCATCTTGTTTAAAAAATAATTGCAAAATTTAGAAATAACATTTTTTTTTTTAATGTTAACTATACAAATTATTTTTTTAATTAAATGTTATTATAGTATTTAATGGTGCAAAAAAAATTTTTTCTTTAGATTTGGTTTTTAAAAATTTTAATTATATTTAATTAATATTTTTATTTACAATTTATATTTAAAAATCATGGAATAATTCAAATTACATATTTTTATTTTGGTGCAAATTAACTTTTTAATTTTAACTCTTTTTATTTTTTACAATATTTCCTTAAAAAATTCACTAGATAAAATGATAAAGTGGCACTCAAAATACTTGCGCTTAGGGAATATAGAGCATTTTAGGGTCTCAAATAGGAATAATAAACATAATCTAAATCATCCGACGCTAGTTCATTAATTAGATTTAGGCATGTGCATATAATTTATTAATTATAGCACTTTTATTAATTAGATAGTACCATAGGTGCAAATTAGAGGAACTTGGAAAAGGTTAGCCCCTTCAAAATTTCAAAAAAAAATACATACATAAGTGGTTTTTCATAAACCACTCGATTATTCTCAAATTAAATATAATATTGGAAAAAAGGTTTTTATTTTTAGTTAGATATATTTCTTGATTTACAAGTTAATAATTCCTTTCCTTAAAAATGAAAGAGCTTTATTTTTTTTAATGGGAACATATACATTTAACTAGTTCGTAAAATAGAAAAAATTTAATTAAATACTAGTTGACAATAACTTTTGAACCAGCAATTTGGAAAAAATTAATATTTTTATACATAGATGAGAGAAAGAGTATGACTAGGAAATGACTAGTGATAAAAATAACAACATCCACATCTCACCTCTAACTATCACTAGAAAGTGAAATTAAATGTCTATTTAATAAGTTAGTTAGTATGTATTTTGCCATTAGAAAACATAAAATTCACACCCTTTTAAGTTATAAGAGATGAACATAAAAATACTTTACGATTGATAGATTGAAATCATGTACTTAAAAGAAACAAAAAAAATGCTTAATATTAATATACTTTTTGATTAATTGGTTTATAATAAATTAATCACCCTTTAATTCATAAAAATAGTTTTTAGAGATGAGGAAGTTTTCTATAATAAGTTTTGTTGAAATTGCGCCTAAACATAGAGTATTATTTTTATTTAAAATTCAAAAATAATTTATATGAAAAAATTGAAATTATTTCTTATAGATTATAGTACATAAAATTTTGAATCCTTGGTTTTTGAATAAATATTTGTACCGCTTTTCATCATTGAAAAAGACTGAGGAAAAAAGTAAAAGAATAATTTGTACACACTTAGATAATATAATCAGAATAATAGACCAAACAAGAAAACAAAGTATGGATCATAATTTTAATGAAGAAAATATCTCAAAGGAATGTTTTGATCTTGAAAAAAAATCTTTAATAGAAACTCTTCTAGAAAATGGCAAAATGACACTCGATGAAATTCGACAAGAAACAGTTTTTTCTTTATTAAGTAAATATAATTTCACATTATAATCTTTTTTGAAGTTATTTTTTTATAAACTAATATTTTTATCAACGTTTTTCTAAATATTAGAATAATGTATCATAACTTTTTTTATGAATTACCTAAATAAACTAAACCGTATGCTTTTATTAAATTCAATATAAGTCAAGAAAAATGAAATATTTTTTTTAGCTATTAGAACAGTAGCTTTTACAAATACTTGCATAATATTCTATTTGGCTCAAAACCAAGATTTCCAAAAAAAGGTTTGTGTCCAAATTTACTATTGTCCATAGCTTTACAGTTTTTATACTCGTGGAAAATCAAAATATTTTTTACAATCTCAGGTATTTGAGGAACAACTTGCTATATTTTCAAAAGGCAATCCTGATAGACGACCAAGTTATGAGGACCTACAACAAATGAAATTCCTCGAACAAGTAATTTATGAAACATTACGTTTACAAACACCTTTACCTATTATGTCCAGAAGAATCGAAGAAGATGTTATTATTGGGAATACTATTTTACCAGCAGGTAAAACCATGTAAATTACTAGCTTAAACTTTCATGTACCTTTGAAAAAAAAAACGGCGTGAAATGAAAAATAGGACATTTATTTTTTAGGTTTCATTATTACTATAATTTAATAAGTTTTTGATAATTTGATTAGTATGACCTATGGAAAATTTAAGTACTGTAGTTAACAATTGTTTTTGGTTTTATATAAGAATTATATTCTACATAATATCAAATTTTTAATGAAACTGTTTGTCCTAGTTAAAAATTAAGTTTGTCTGAATTATTTGTTGAAAATCATTTCTATCGCCGTCACTGGCCATTGATTTCATACGTTTAATATAAAATTATTGGAGAATACAACCGAAAATTTATTTAAATAAACAATGGCATTTAATATTTTTTTGATAGGTGCTTTTGTATGCTTCAACCTCAAAGATTTACACCGAAGTCCGCTGTACTACAAAGATCCTGAAAATTTCAACCCTGATCATTTTTCAATGATTGAGTGCCAAAAGAGGCATCCATATGCTTTTATACCATTTAGTGGTGGTCTTAAAAATTGTGTTGCCTACAGATTAGTTATTTTACAAATTAAAATAACTCTATCTACACTTGTTAGAAAAAGTAAATTTTTCCCTTCAGATAAATATTCTTCAACTGAATTCCCAAAATTGAAATATTCAATATCTTCAACATTTGAAAATGGTTGTTATGTAAAATTAGAACCAAGACAAAAGTCAAGTTTGAATGTTGAATGTTAATACAAGTACCAAATTTGAGTGTGTATTGTTTTTCACTAATTTTTTTGAATCTATACTAATATCCATTTCTTAAAAAAATATTTTGAATTTACAGAGTAAATTGTAAGTTGAATCTATTATTGTTAAAATAGACTTGATTTATTTTTATTTTTTTATAATAAATATTATATATACAATTAATACTTCAACATATTATTAGTACTGAAGTCTTGATTTTTATATATATTACAATTTCGACTAGAATTCATGAATCTCATTAAAAAATTTGAGTAACATTTAGTGTTATCTTTTATTTTAAACTATTGTTCAAGATTTTTTTATAGAATTTTTTAATTTAGAAATTTTAAGAATTTTTGGCACATAATTTGATTAATTTACAACTCTCAACTCTATGTTTTTTGTTAATAAATAAAACAAAATCTCTTTAAACCCTAAAACAAAGATTAAGTGACAAATTAAAGTTTAATTTATTTATTTAAAAAAACTTTTAAATAATGAAACATTATTTCATTCTAAAATCTTATTACTATCTGTATTCCATAAAATCATACGTTTTAACAAATCGACTTTTTTTATTTCACTTAATGTAAAATATAATATAAAATACACATTGTTTTGTATAGAATATTTAACAAAATAAAAACAGTCACATTACTTTAATGTCATAACAAGTAATTTAAAATTTTACACGGTATATAAAAGTTGGTTTCATACACTAACAAGATTGAAAATACTTGACTAGAAACATATGACATCTACTAAATACACAATATTATGAAGAATAAGCTACAGTTTTTCACTTCAATCATTTTGATTTTCAGTAGCAAAAAAACCTGTTTTACTCAAAATCCATTTAAATTCATCATGTAATACAAGAATTAATGCAGAACCACTTGCCCGGATCATATTTGGTGCCATTCCTCTATATAATCCTGTAATTCCTTGTGATTGCCATAACTTTGAAAAACAATCTCTTGCATTAAGGTAAATTTTTTCTTCGTGAGAAGTTTGTACAATTAAAACTCTTCCCACTGTGTCTAGAGGATAGCTAAACAGTTGAGATAAAAAAGTAGAAATCTGAAACCAAAGTAGAAATTAATGGTTTGATCACTTTTATCATTGGTGTTAATATTTTACCTGAGCTGTCCCAAAGCGAACCCAAAATGGTAACTTTTTATCTTTTTCATCATTTGATACTAAGCTATTAGTGTGATCTAGGATAGCTTTATTAAAGCTATAATATGCTCCAAAATATATGGCTTTATTTATGACCATACCATTAGCAGCTATAGCAAATCCTAAACAGTTATTTTAAATTATGAAACGAAAATTTTTATTCTATTGTTTAATTTTTGACATAAACATTATTATCAATAAAAAAAATTCTTCAATTTATATTAGATTAACCTGTATATAAAGTGCGTACTCCACTAGTGTGTACTGTTTTTTGGATACAGTCTAATAGCCCAGTATATTCACGGTCCACTAATGGACCAACATGAGAAGCCAAATGTGTTTGACAAAATAATAATGGATAAAACATACAAAGTGTAGTGGCACCACTTAATCCACCAGATATAAGACTCAACGCAGTGTGGCTCCAACCATCATTTTTATGTTTAATATTACCCAACAAAAATTTTAGGTAAAATGTATTTAGTCCAAACATCACAGCCTTAAATAAAACAACAAAATAAAATATTCATTATTATTAATTTTTCTAATGCGTATGATTCTACTTATACTAGTTTATTATGAATAAATTGTATTCTGAATCATTTTTTTAAGCTTTAGCCAATAAAATTTTATTTATTAGTAAAATTAACATAACACTAATATATTATCAATTTAAAAGAAAGAAACTATTCTCTTTCTTTATTTAAAAAATAATCAAGAAACAACAATAGTAAATAAAATATTAATCGGGTTACCTGTGAAGGAACAAATCTTAAAATGTTGGTAAAATTTCCAAACCATAATGCTCGTAGACCTTGTTCACGATAAATTTGATTTAATGTTGTAAAGATTCCAGGATGATAATGAGCATGATGTCCATTGGATAGTGAAGTATAATGAACCTAGTTTGAAAAACCAATACATAGATAGTAAATTATCTAAATAAGCAATTTAAATTATCTTTAATGTTCAAAAATTTTACATTCATAGTTTTATAACTGTAATAAGTAATCTATTTAATGATTATGAGCAACACTATTTGTATTAAGATAATTACCATACAAGTTAACTATTGGTAAATTTTAGGGACTTTATATAATAATAAAAAAAAAAAAAAACTACAAAATTCTCCTTCAAACCAAATTTTTTTATGGTTTCAAATTTACAATTAAAACTCCAAGATAGAAATAAAACAGTTATTTTACTTAGATTAAACAAGATAAATATTTTCTTCCAAATTAAATAATTTATTTTTCTGAACTTTGGTTATAAAAATTATATTAAATTGTGCTTTTAGTTATGGATTTATTATTAAGTTATTGATAGGCTGACATTTTTTCAAATTTACACCAAATTAGATATTTACCTGGGAAATTATTTTAACCCTATCAAAAGGAGCAACAACTGATCTGGCTATCGCCGTGGCAACAGCACTGGACACTGCATCCAAACCAAATTCATGAAGACTAGAACGTTCTTTATCTTTTTTCTAAAACCAACCAATTTTATGTTATAAATATATTTAAATCATGCATTTAATTAATTTATTATGTTTAATTTATATTTTAAAAAACAAATATTTAAAGCTAAATAAACTTTCATTAAAATTTAAGAATTATTTTAAAATACCAATTTTAATTATTTTATTACTATAATAACCTAAAATTTAATCTAAGATTTTAAATAAGCACAATTCATAAACATAAAAAAAAATGATTTGAGGGGCGCCAAAAAAAAAAAAAATATATATAATATAAATTTGGTCGTTTATAATAAAAGAAATATAGGATATTATCTTATTTTTCGAACTTAGAGGTTAATTAAATTTAAGGTCAGCATATTCATAGGGAGTAAATGTAAAAATTAAATTAATTATTAGAACCCAATATCTATATAAAAACGTTATGATTAACAGATATAATACCAAATATGTAAAAATAAATAAACTTACTAAATCCGTTATTTAGCTTTTTTGTACACTAAGGCAGAGAGTATACAAAGACAACTTGTGCGCAAAATGCTTTTCAGCTTGAACTTGGCTCTTTGCCATATCAATACATGACTCCTGTCAAAGAATGAAAATCGGAAAGTGTTGAACTATTTTATGAATTGTGCGAATCAATAACTTGACTACAAAATAAAGAAGAAACAACTAAAAGTTGATTACGTGCACACGATCAGATTTCAAAAATTGTGGCGGCGATCAACGTTACTCAATTAGTTACTGTAAGACATATGTAAAGTTTTAGGTGGCCAAGGTCGTCAACGGTATTTTTAACGCACAATGCCCCCTATTAAAAATATAACAGAAGACAAAAATGCTAACAAGAAAACGACTACAGGCCGAAAAAATAGCGAAATCATACTCGTGTACTTTTATTGATACACTTGTTATCTATACCAAGGACTATTTAAATACTGATATGGATGATATACTAAATGGCCAACTAATGATAACAAATAAAGGCACTCAACATGTTTATATGAAACAAATATGTTTTTCCCGTGTTCCATGAAAATAAGTATTTACCCTAATTAAAAAATTGTAGTAGTTTTTAAGGCATTACTTCATAGTAAAGGTTAAAAAAAAAAACAAAATTCTGAAAATAAGTCTTAAGAAAACATCTTTCTTTAGGGCCTCAACACCTTAATTTGACTTAGTATCAAGTTAAAAAAATATTGATTTACCATTTACAATCGCAATGAAATTAAGAAACCCAATAAAACTGGAACTATGAAATAATATCCAAATTAAGATCCTTATATTATGTAGGGTAGTGAAATACGATCACTGTTAAATATACTAAATACAAGGTTTTTTGAAATGATAATTCTGCTACTCACTGACATGATCATGGGGGGGATATGAACTTCACGTTCCCATGACAAAACTAAATATATGGCGAAGATACAATTTCTTCTTGTTTGAAGGGAAAAGTGAAAATTTTTTTTATCAATTAATGAAATAATTACTAGGTAATAATTATTTTAATTTTTCAAAGCTACAATATTATATTTTAATGGCTTAATCGGTTACGCAACAATGCTTAATGCACATTGTCAGGTTCCAGACTTCGTTTGCTGAGCGAGATCAGTTCAATAATTGGCACGGTTAATTATTAGAGAGGGCAACAGTAATAACTGAAGCAACTATACCTTTTTCTAAAACATCGAGTCCCTGAGTATCTATGATTGAAAAACCTCTTCGTGGGAAGCTAATGGACTGCAAAAGTGTAAAGAAAATTCATAATTTACCATAATGTAATATTATACATTATGATATAAAATTATTACTTCGAAAACTTTATAATGTAAATATTTATAATGATGAACACTAAAAACTTTAACTATTACTGATTATTAACTTTAAATGTTCATTTATACTGTGTTATAATTCTAATAAATAGGATTACTTGGTGTAAATAATATTTTATTTTATATATTTAGACTGATTTGGAATCTTGTGTAAATTTTACCAAAAGAAAGTATAAGTGATATATGGTTTTGAACAACTTAACTTAATAATATAAATTTAATAACATATTTTAACATAACAAAATATTAAACAAGTCAATATTATCTAGTTTTAAACAATAAAAAACATAAAAAAAACGAAGATTGTGTACTTCCAATAATATTAATAATTTAAAAGAAAAAAATCAGTTAATTTTCAAAGTGAAACAAATTTACATCAATCCATCAAGAATTTTATTAATTCAATTGTATTAATCATTTTTCTTGTTTAAATTATACAAAAATTAATGTAAATGATTAATAATCATACCAAGCATTCAAAATTGTATTAGTCAGAGGCTAGTTTCACCACTTTTACTATATGTTATATGATTTGTTTTAAGAAAAATTGTTTTGCCTTAAATTTCTACACAATATATCATAATATGTTTTTACAGGATAATCTTCAATTCCACACAACCATAGTTCAGATGTGCCAAAACGATACACAGATCTTATAATTTCAATTATTTTTGTAATTTTTTTAGGATCTTCAAATTGTAAAGCATAATATCTATAGTCCCTTTTATAAATCACTTCTTTTATTAACTGTCTAAATATTTTTTCAATAGTATCATAGCAATCTTGAGAACGTTCGAGAATGCATAATATTTTTTCATTAGCAATTGTGTATTGAAAAACATAAGACTCGTTTTGAAAACTAATATCTCTCAATAACCTTAAAAAAATCAATATACAACTTATGTAATTAAACAGCACAAAATCCTGCATAACACTTATTTTTAATTTCTATGAACTATTATAACCTAAGATATTCTAATTCTAAAAAAAAAGAATTTTAAACTTGTGGTAATTTAAAACATTTTACATTACTATAGAGGGTTTGATTTCATTTTTTTAATGAACAGAATAATTATAAAGTAAATACCAGACATAAAATATAAAAATCTTACTTATTTTTAAAGGGATATTTAGCATCTATTTTATCTGAAGTACTATCAAATTTGTGAAATTTTAAATTTTCTTTCTTCAAAAATAATATAATATCTGTTTCTTCTTCCATTTCCCATAAATTTTTGGGAGTTGTATAGATACTTAATGCTTTTTGTGACATATTAAAATTAGTAATCTAAAAAGTTACATTGTAGTATAAAATGTTCAAAATATAAAAAAAAAAACTTTAGACTAACCTTAGACGGAGATGGCACACAAACTGTAATTTGAACACCAGTGCCACAAAATAAGTCTTTAATAAAATTTTCTACATCAGACCAATTTAATCCATCCAAACCACATCCAATTTTTGGAATACCCAATTTTGTTAAATTATTTTCTTTGATTTTTTTAAGTAACTTAAATAGTGTTTGTTTTAAAGTATAAATTGTAGGTTTCCCATTGCTATATTTTTTGGTTATTAAATAAAATATGAATTGATTATTATGATTTAAAACACCTACATCACCCACTTTCAAATTTTGATCAAAGAGTTTGCCCACGCATCCATAGCATCGTCTATAAAAATAAAATATTACTAAAAATTAAAAATCTACTCAAATACTAACACACTTAAATTCAACAGCGATACCAGCTCCCATTTGTAAATCTTCAGCAACGCAATGAGCAAAAGCATATTCATTTCCCAAATTAAATAAATTCTCATCCAACTCTTTATAATCTAAACTGAAAAAAAAAATTATGAAAAATTCTATTAATTTCAAGCTACAATTTATGAGCCCATATATTTGTATTAAAATGTAAAAAAAGTTTGTTTTATAATATTGCTTTTACTACTAGATTCAAATTTGTATCATTCCAAATTTAAAAGAAAATTGAATTTGAAATAAATTTAGTATGGCTATTAATACTCTGAATTCTTGATTTAGTCTGATTATCAGTTATGAGATATCATAAATAATCAATTTCACCAAATCACATTTCTATTAAACTTTTAACATAAAAATTAAAAGAATTGTAGCCCAAAAACTATAGTATAAAATACATACTTTTCCACAGCTAATATTTATAAAAAAACTTTAAGTCACTTTAAAAAATACATGTTTCCATTTGATTTTTCAAAGTTAGCTTCTTAAAATATCCATAAATATTCTCTTAAAATACTAATTTAACATAGAAATATTTGTTTACATTTTCAACACACCAGATCTGGAATGTTATGCGATAAGAAAATTCCAATGAGGCCGAAAGTTTAATAATACTCAAGTGAGACCAGTTATGATGTACGGTTAAAAGTGTTGAGCAGTTGATAAGAGAATAAAGCAGAGAAGGAGTGTAATACAAATGAGAATGCTTAAATTGATGAGTGGTGTTACTAGAGAAAAAATAGTATAAGGAACGAACATATAAGAGGGAGTATAAGTGTTACGTCAATTGTGGATAAGATGAGAGAAAATATACTTAGATTGTTTGGTCATGTCTTAGGGAGTGAGGAATTAGAAGTTGTAAGAACAGTTTTGAGAATGAATGTTGAAGGAAGAAGAGGTAGGAGAAGACTTATATAGAGAAAGAGGAATGGTATTGAGTGTGATATGAGGACAGTTGATGAGCGCGTTGATAAATGTGGGATATCGTATCAACTGGAAGTTTAGGATAAGAGTGGGTGGGTGACCCCAAGTAGTAGTGATACAGATGAAGACAAATTAGAAGATTATTTATATGACAATTAAACATATATAATTTTTTTAAGTAGGGTTAAAGGTTTTTAATGAAGTACGGCCAAATATAAATATTTAAAATTTAGGAATACTTGTTATCAGTTGATAAAAGATTCTCTTCTGACATATTAAAATGTTTGTCAATTGTGCAGGTAAAACTATAATCTTTAAATTTTCTTGTCATGGTAGTTGATTTCTTTTTCTTTTATTTGTCTTCTCAGATTTTACTTGAAGACTAAATATTTTAATTAAAAAATAAATAATATTTGATATTTAATACTTTCAATAATTATTAAAATAATAAAACTAAAAAAAAATAGCTTTACTTATTTTTAAATAAATTATTTTTATCAATTTCAGATGACAAATCTTCTTCCAAATTATTGCTAATTGAACTTTTTCTATATTTTTTTCTAAATCTTCAAGAAAACTAAATAAATATATACATATATGTCAAAATAAATATAAATAGTGTAATAAATATATTTTGTATTTTTTGTTAAATAGCCAACCAAAATCAAACAAATTGTATGTATAATTCATAAATAAAAAAAAAATTCTGATTTTACCAAAAGATATATAATTTACAATAATATTGTATCTGAATATTTTTATAATTTTGTTTTATTTGATTAAATCAATTAATTTTAATTAGATTACACTGAATAATAATAAAGTTTTTAAATAATGAAAGACTTTATAAGGACTATAATATCTATTTTTAGAAAAAATAGTTATTTATTTATGGATGTAATGTATAATAATCGTACATTATATTCATAAAAAAAAACTTTGTCTATCAGTTAATTTCTTAAAATTAACCTGAATATGAATTGATTTATAAAGTTAATAATTATACTAATGTATTCAGTTAAAAACTCACTAACTTTTAACATACAATTTTAAGCAACTTAGATTTTTATACTTTAATTTATACTTAACTAAAAATTTATAATGTTGATTAATACATATATTAAGAATTTTTCATAGATATAACATCAATTTTTATTTAAAAAATAATTGAATTTAATTTGATAAAAATATTATTTAGTATTTAATAAGTAACCATTAAAGACTAATAAATAACAGTTTAAATTTTTTGTCCTAAAATTATAAAAAAATAAACTAATACATGTTTATCCTATAATCTGAAAGTGCTAAGTGCTTCAATCTTCAAATGTCAAACTTCAATAAAAAAAAAATTTCATAAAAATACCACTATTTACAGACCAAACAATAATAATAGAAATATACAGATGCTTTAAATTAAACTTTTGGGTTTAATACAAACATTTACACTTTAATGTTGAGTTATGATACAATTCAATTATTTTAGTTTCAAAATTATCTTATCTAATTTGAAGTAATAATTATTTGAGTGAACATTTGAGAAAATAAATGAGAACATTTGACAGTATAAAATATTAGATATCTACGGAGACTTAACTTAAGACGAATTTATACATATGTATAATAACATATTGAAAACATTTTAAATGGAATATATTTTTGAAAACTATTTTCCATTATCTTGTAACCAACAAATATGAAAAAAATCATTTTACTTTTGAAAAAAATAATTTTTTCTAAAAATATTGGAAATGTTAATGAGTAATGTTAAGATTCTTGAACTTCATTAATCAATATTTTTCTCTACACAAACACGTGATGAATAGTTACTCAACATATTATACATAAAAACTCAAATACATCATTATTAATGTAAAAATAGCTATTTCAAATAATAAGTAATGAATTCTGATTAAGAAACTAAGGATTTTAGATATGTTAGAGTAATATTTAAAGGTAATATTTATCACTGAATTGTAATCAAGTGGAAAAAAAACTATTAACTCTATGAATACATTTTATTATTACTAAATGTTTCTCTCATTAATGTCAGTACCTTTTATTACACTTTGATCGGCCCATTCCTTTTACTTGGCTAAAATAGTTTAAAAAAACTGTTTCAGGTGGTGATCCAAAAACAGGAAAGCTTATCAGTACAATATTTACCGAGGTATATAATCAAAGAGTATATTACTCTATGATATATACAATAGAAACGATAGCTTAAAACTGATAAGCCGTTATTATCTTATTTAATGTCTACCACAAACTAAAACTTAAAATCTCAGTTAAACCTGGGCCTTGTGCTTAAATTACGACCGCGGTAACAACGTTAAAAAAAATCTATCAGCTGGTCACATCCGATCGATCAGCGTTATCACCCGTTACTGTCTGAACAAGAACAACAAAAGGAACATGCACAATTGACAATAACAACATATTGAATTAGCTTTTGTTGTAACAACGTGAACTTTGAAAATTATTATAAACTTTCAGGTTTTTTCATTCTTTGTGTATCTATTTGAATTACAGATCATTTTTTAAGTGAATTTTCTTCGAAGTGTGTGTGTTTCATGAGACCAAATTTCATTAAATGCCAATGACTTGACGGATAGCTAACATTGGCATGTCGCTTGAAACCGATGGTTGTACTCAACAAAAAGAATACGACTACTTACTAAAATTTTTGTTAGTCGGTGATAGTGATGTGGGAAAACAAGAGATGCTCAATGATCTTGAGGACGGATCTTCAGAATCACCATATTGTAGTGGAAGTGGTAAACATAAAATTTTTATTGTTATTAGTTTTTTAAACCGTAGTTTCATATTATACTAAAAAAATTTGATTTATGTGTGTTATAAAATCTCACTTACTGCAAATCATTTTTTGACTATAATAAAACATTAAATAGTGTACTAATATCTTATATCAATTACTCATATCAAGTATTCTTTAATTTAAATTATAGTTCTAAAATAATGACAGTAAGAAATATTTATTCAGTTATGTATACTATAAAGTATAGAAAAAAAACTAAGATAACAAAAGCATTAGAAATATTTCATAAATACATCTTGAACATATTATTTTATTATGCATTCCACTATCACTTCTTTAATAATTCTAATTTAGTGATATTGTATTACAGTTTATCATATATTCCAATATTCGTTTACTTGAAATACAAAATTATCCTATGTATCTACATATTATATATAGAGTTTAGTTTAAAAAAAATGAATAGTATAATTTAGTTTATAAGCAAAAACTTTCTTGGCTTATTTTTTCTCCGAATGAAATTAATTTTGTAAAAAACAGCACTACTACTTTTTTTTTTGATAACATATTAAAAAACTTTTTAAAGCATTACTGGTTGGCCTCATTGGAATTTTCTTATCGCATAACACACCAGATGTTTCTTTTCACTTTACCTACCCACACTTAATCTGAAATAAACCAAAAAAATAAAAAGATTTCATTAGTATATGTAATAAAATATGTAAGAGTGTAAAGGGTAGAAATGAGAATGCTTAAATGCGTCTCATTTCTACTTTACTCATTCTCTGCTTTATTATCCTGTCGTCTATTAATATTTATTATCTTTTTAACTAAAAAAATATTCTTTTCAGCGTATAAAACTACAACTATCTTGCTAGATGGAAAGCGAGTAAAATTACAACTTTGGGATGCCTCTGGTCAAGGTCGTTTATGTACAATAATTAGATCTTATTCAAGAGGTGCTCAAGGTGTTTTGCTCGTATATGATATAACAAATAAATGGTCATTTGACGGCCTTGACAGATGGCTCAAAGAAGTTGAAGAGGTTTGTATTTGCCCCTTATAATTTAATAATATAATGGAATATATGATATCAACTACTAGTATCTATTCAACTAGATATAATGTATTCATGATTGAGCTCTACAAGACATGTATTTAATAGTTCATAATTTAAAATTTTCTCATATAATATTTTTATTAGTATTAAACTTACTTAAGCAAGGTGGACCGAGTTTTGTCCAGGTAGATAAAATGAATGGACAAAATTTGAGGTTTGATGAAATAATGATAATGATAGTATACACAAATAAAAAAAAAAACAATTTAATATCAGTATAAAATGCATTTTTGTCCATTTTATCGACTTTTTTAACAAAATCATAATAATATTTCTGAGCTTAAGTTTTTTGTAATTGAGTAGTCGAAATTCTATTAATTTATTTTAAAATTTATGTGCTGACTATGTAGCATTGAGTACCAATTAATTTATCCATATAAAGATAATAAAACAGGATTATTTGCTTATCATAATTCTTGGTCATTTGTTGAATACCATTCATTCTTTAAATTTTTAAAAATTTTAGTTCAATCATTATTGAAACCAGATATCATTAACTTATTTGTTTAACTCCACCTTCATCATTTTAATGTTAATCTCTAATAATCTCTTCATAGAAAGGATAATGAAATATAAGAACCTTTTATTTTTGTTTTTAAGCAACATATAAATGTTAGAATCATTATGTAATAAAAAATTATATAAAAAATTTTTAAATCTAATGTTATTGTATATTTATAAATTTCCTCAGTTAATTAATGTATTTTTGTTATTTCTAGCATGCACCAGGTGTCCCAAAAGTATTAGTTGGTAACCGTTTACACTTGGCATTTAAACGACAAGTTAGTGTTAAAGAAGCAGAAGCATATGCGACAAAACATCATATGACTCTGTTTGAAGTTAGTCCTTTATGTGATTTTAATATAAGAGAAAGCTTTAGTGAGTTGGCAAGAAGAGCATTACATAGAAATGGTATGGAAAGACTTTGGAGGTCAAATAAAGGTAACATATCAATAAAATTTAGTTTTTTATATCAAATATAGATAAATGTAAAAAATGTTTAACCAAAATTTTAATATTAAACAGTTCTGAGCCTTCAAGAGTTATGTTGTCGTGCAATCGTAGCTCGAACTACTCAATATGGTATAAATCAATTACCTTTGCCTGTGACAATAAAATCTCATCTTAAGTCTTACGCACTAACAAGTTTCTCTACTCTTTCTATGTCATTACCAAGAAATGCTTCAGCATCAAAAAAAATTAAACTACCTTCAAACAATTCCGGTTTATCATCGCATAACCATACTACGCAATCTATATCTAATAACCATAGTATAAAAAATACAGCATTAAATATTTCACCATCATACATTACAAGAAACTCATGTACTATATCATGACTTAGTTTAATTTATATTTTTATCAAAATGTATTCTAACTCATAATTATTAGTTTTTCCTTACATTATAAGTATTTTTGATATTGTGTGCAAGAAAGTTTTTACATGCCATTTTAACTAAAGCAATAATACTTTTTTTATAATAACAGATAATGCATGGAATGCTGTATGTGTATCAATCTTTTTTAATTACTTAAAGTGTTTTTACAAATATGATTCTATAAAAAAAAATATATTTATATTAATGTGGCTATAATTGCAAAATTATGTAGTTTTTCATAGATTTTTCCCTTTTTTTAATTATTTATTGAATGGACAACTGTAATTATTATTATAAGTATATATTAGTAAACTTATGTAAATAACAAATACTCACTTTTTTAGTCATTTTATTTTTGCATTTGTGAATTCTAACTATTTTTTCTTTTTGTAACTGTTTTTGATTATTTTTATTATTATTAAATTTTTTTTATTATTGTTTTGAAAAAATAATTAAATTTTTTAACATTGATAAATAAACGTTGGACTGAAAAGTCATTCCTACATGATGTAATTGTTTATTCAGGCATTATCTTTTAACTTGGGAATTTTTATGGTATCATTAAGTTCAAACCTAACCTGTTACGTAGAAATTTCCTATCCTATTATACTATAGAATGAGTGGTCAGTATATAACTTTTATAGACTTTTTTTAAAAATGGTTGCGTATAGCAGATTTTATAAATAATTTTATTAACAAATCGAAAAAAAACTAGTTGTTTTTCTCTATTTAAAATAATGATGTCATATGGTTATTAATATATTGTACTGGTAGTTGTTTGATAAAATTTATGTTCGAAACTAGATATAAACAACGTTTAAAAAATGTTCATCGAAAAACTATTCTATACAACTTTTAAAAAACAAAAAAAAGTAGCACTGAATAATAATGCATTTGTACAGCTCTAGAATTTCAAAATGTTCATAATCATCTATAAAATATAAAAGAAAAGCTTATTTTTCAAAATTAAATGGTTATTTAAAATGAATTATATTTTATAATTAATGTCTATCCTATGACTATTGTATGATATATGATAGCCTTTATATTGTATAGGCACTTCGCACCTCAGACTGGGCTTTGTAGGCTGCCATTTACTATTTTAAGATCTCTATGGTAATTAAGTAGTTGAGAGAATTCTTAGAAGAGAATATAACAACGATGGAAATAATTTTTGCAGCGATAGACATTTAAATGAAGAATTCAGATATTTTCACTTAATTTATAATTGATATCTTTAGGCTACTAAAAGTCCATAAACTTTACAGTAATTCATAAATAGATTAAGTAAAAGATAACGGAGCATAGTCAGAAATGGATATGCCTAAAAAAACATTTGCCGTAATAAAACACAACGATTATTTGGATAACAATAAAAATAAAACAGTAGAGCCAGTTCACAAAACTAAGGATAACGGAGGTTGGTATAATTTTTCCAATGATATAAAGTTTAGCGGTATAACAACAGAAATCGTGAAACATAAAGTAAATTCTAAACAAATTAAAGAAGAAACAAAAAAGTTTGGAAAACATATAACCGAGCATGACACAACAAAAATGACTGAAAATCTTTCATTTTATATTAAAAAAAAAAATGTTTTGTACATTGGAGCAATAAAAAAAATGACCACACAAAAACATCTTACAGACACATTTTTGCAATTTGGCCATATTAAAAATATTCTAATTTTAGACGGTACCCATCGATATGGTAGTCATAGTACGCTTAACTTTGGATTTATATATTTTGAAAATGACAGTTCAGTCGATAGTGTGATTTCAAAATGTACACATAAATGCTTTTTGAAGAACAATAACATGGTGTTTGTGGACAGACATTACATGTATTATGAACCTGAACAATTGTGTGATCACACATTACAAGATAAACAGAATGAATAATTATAAATTTTATTTGATTTTTGAAAACCAAGTATGAGCATGCATAACTTTGTGTAGTATAACGGAGAAATTTTTTTGTGATAACATTTATTATTGTTTTTATAATTATTTGATGTGTAACTTACAAATATTTTTTTGTTTATACATTTTCGGTCATTTATATTTTTTCATAAGAAGTGATCTTGAATTGATAGTAAACATTCATTTATACATTTTTTGGTTGATTTTTCTATTTAAAAAGCAGAAAAACACCTTTTTTTTTTTGAAAAACACCTATATTCAAAATTGTTTAGAGTTGCTATAAAATTTTTCCGATTTGATTTAATTTTTAACATTGAAGAGATCATCATTTTATTTAATTTAAAATATTTTGTGTTATTAATAAAAACATGTTTCAAATATGTACAATAAATTTGTAAAAATCAGTTTCTCCACATTTAGTTATATCACTGTTGTGATACCTCCATAAAAATATCAATTATTTTTTTAAATAACACAATTTTTCATAAACATCTACAATTATTTTATTTGTTTACACATATTTTTTAAATCAAACAATTAAATTAAATCCAAACTCATGATATACAAAACAATTACACTTAATTTTTAATTTCCAGTGTTTTTAGTATAAACGTTATGGATTTTATATAATTAAAATTATAAAAACTGTGTATGATATAAATAAGATGAATATGTAAGGTAATTTAAATATTGTTACAAATAATAGGTTGGGAGTACAAAAAAATGCTTGGTATATGGTTTATAAAACAAAAAAGTATTTTATTCACATAGCTAGTCTTATTATTTAATTGGTGCTTACATAAGTGGATTTATTTTTAAATATTGAAAAACTCGGATCATAGTTATGACCTGTGTTTGTATAATTACAATTAAAGGAAAATCAAGAAATCAAATTACATATTTATACAAACATAAATTCGGTAGTTATCATACAAAGATAAATAATTGGCGTATAAAATATGGTGCCATTTTTTGTTATAAACGATTAATTAAATTAGTTAAATGAATAAGAAAAAAAAACATTTTTATTTAACTATTTAAATATTTATTGAGGTCACAACAACCTTAAAGATGTAATAACAGTTTCGTGTAGCCTATTAACTATTAAAGCAAAAGGAATGAATACTTTACTGACTGGATATGATTCAGAGCGATTCCATTTTAAATTTATCATACATAAAGATATTGAAGAATTCAAAGATTTTTTAACTGCGTTGTCTTTTTCAATTAATTGATATTTTTTTATGTAGTATAAAATGTATTACAAGTGACTAGAATACAACTAAGAATTATGCATGTACATAATAATATTATAATTAATAATATAAAGTAAAGTATGATAGTTAAATTAACTTAGCTATTAAAAAATAGATTAAAAAATTTAATGGTATTAAATACACCGCAATTGGTATGTGATGATCAATTTTCTGAGGTTACGCTTGACCTACTATGATAATAAGTCTAATCGAATTTAAACAGAAACAGCTATAGTATTTCATAATTATCTTAAAATTGGTTCATTGAGCTTATACGATTACCCTTAAAATATATAATAATATAAAATATTTTATCATTAATTTTGATGGTTGTTTCATTCCATTTCCCTTATTTTTATACTTATTTTATTATTGATATATAAACGTGTCGTAAACAAAACAAACTGAACAAAATATTCTTATTTTACGATATTGGAAATGTTACAATTGTATGTATTTTAAAAACTAGTTCATTATTTACGAATAAAAAACAATGATTGCGTTAATATTATAAGGAAAATGTATAAGTGATCCGATGGCAGTTTAAACTACCGGCCCTCGTCACTGCTGTTTTAAAGACACAGTAGAAAATTGCTATTCACATTATTGCACATTTTCCTTTTTCTGCCCAAGGGTTGTTCTTTTTGTCGGGTGCATGGATGAGTGGATCGGTTTTCTCGTTTTCTTCTACAAACTCTCTCATCCTAAAAAAAAAATGTATAATAAAAAACAAGTAAACGCAAAACTAACATCAGGTTATGTTTTGTTTGTATTTAACGACTCCATTCTGTCCAAAAATCGTTATTTATTTCATAAAATATAGAGACACATAATGAACAGTGTATAGTTAAATTTTTAGATGTGTGTAGATCGTCAAATTTAAGCAGACATATATTTCCTATAAAATAAACTAATTAGTTAATTCAACTCGGACGTCAGTCTAAGTAAATGTTATCTTTTTTTAAGACGAATCATAGTAAATTCGTCTAAATAAATCTATACTATTTCCTCTCATCTCGAAGTTTAGTAAAAAAAACAGTTCATTTATTACGCTTAAAAATTGTGCATCGCAAATTGCAAAAAGAAATATTAATTATCGTAAAGTTTTTAATTATATTAGGTAGTAATATCTATTGTTAATCAAAATGAGTACGGACATGATATTAATCTCGAAGAATTGTAATCATCGAATCAAAAACTTATTTTAACGACTGTTGCGTGAGAGTATTTAATCAGTAGGTTACAAGCGTTATTTTGTAAAAAAAACTAGTCGCGAAAGACATAAAAAAAAACTTCATGCAGCACAGAAAAATTAAATAATTTTTTTTTGTTTTGTTTAATCATATTCAAAGTTTTGATCAACAACAGTATTTTTAACATATTACGGTCGTTCGGACGCAATGGCAGTAATGTGAGCCGACCCAATAAAATATATTTTCCATGGTACAAATTATTCCTATAAAACACAACGAACCCCATAAAAAATATGCATTGCATGTGTTCATCGCCAACATGATCGATGGCGGTCGCCAGTTGCTGTTCAACGTGAGCTACATCATGTTAATTCGTATGATATTTTCTACCAGTCAAAAAAAGCTATTGGACTATGGTTTACTAGATCGTTATCTGTGTTGTTTACTTTTTACGTCGCATTTTAATCGAAGAAATAGAAATTTAAAAGTCGTTTTCGCCCGATAATGTATTATTAATTAAATTATTTTAATTAGTGAATTCGTGTTTTTGATAATATACTAATAAACGGTAATCATAATACCACTTTTTTCATTGATGCGAGTACTTATTATTTTACATCAGCACATATCGGACAATGGGCTTAAGAATTATTCCAAAATCATTTGTCTCTGTTTTTCGTTATTCTTGTTATCCGTGTAGTTTTTATCTAATAACCGGAATTTTATACAACAGTAAAAGCTCTAAACAATACATTGTAAACGAATTTGATTTTTCTTCAACGCCTACACGCTCGTGCGATGTTTGGATGTGTTCTCAGGAAAAAAATATCCGATGAAAACAGTAAAAAAAAAAAAATAGAATAGAATAGCAATGAATTTTAGAACGTATATTATCATAAAGCTATAAATAATTTTTAAGCTATTGTTACTTACGCGTAAATTTTCGATTAGAGTACATGTGTTTTTAATAATTGAAAATTACGTCAATAATGTGTTTTTTGTTTGAACAGTTTGTTGGTGTAACTAAGTAACATTTGTTTTGAGCATCGCACACACGTTCACATAGATTACTTGGAACGAAAACAGGGATTTTATAAGATTCTACTTAGAATGTGTTTGGAACTTGGCCAATTTGTTGCGTTTTAACGTTTGTAGCGATTAAAGATTTCGTCTATAATAGAAATATACATAAAAAAATATACTTAGAGTGTGTCCCACACCTGTGAAACGCGGAAATTGTGAACTTTATCAAGTTGACGGTAGACGGTGTTTCGTAACTACTTAAGTAATGTGCACTATGATCATTTCAACGGCATCATAAAGTAGTACTACATATAAATGAACTCGACCGATAAGAAGTCACCGTAAATGTTTTTTCATTCTTATCGATACATAAAAAAGAACCCGGTGGGTAAGACCATTAACGTTTGTTTGCGGCACACGCGTCTGCTAACCGTATTATAATGACTTCTCATCCCAACTCAACAATTAAACGATCAAATCTATTAATCTGCTTACATATGCTCAATAACTATACCTTAGTGGGCGAAAAGAAAATTTTTCTCATTAGCAGTGGCCTTATTTATGTAATCAATGACTCTTTTAAGGTTACAAATGTTACATAGTTACTATGCGTTACTACTATAGTCGTGATAGGCTTTGATAATTTTCCTGCGGACGGATCGAAATCATTTAAATTCATTAAGAACCGGACTAGAAATATTTCAATATACTATGGGTTGGACCGGATTTTATTTATTCATCGAGGGCTGACCGGGCCGTCATTTTTGGGCCCTTGCAAGTGTTTAATAATTTGTGTTTTTACGTGCGTCCAAAAGTAATTCGAGTTTATAACAATATTATCAAAACGTCTCTCATATTATATGGTTTGATAAATATTCAATTTGCAGTCTACGCGAGGGGTACATGATCAAAAAAGGTAATTTAATACAATATGTGGCAGGGCAATTGAATTAAAATAATTATGTGGTCGGTAAGTCCGCCCGATCTGACTCTCTAGACGTCCGAGTACTTTCTGACGATTCGTTTGGAACAGTTAAACCTCTTACAAACAATGTAGTTCACAGACAGATTATACACACGAAAAGGGCGTTGTCGACTAAGACTTTTGCATAAAAAAAAATGACTCATGCTCTTGTCCGACTGTAATAAACCGTCAAACTGTCGCTGGCAACATCTAAATAAACATGTCGGAATGGAAAAATGACGACTCGTATTCTTTCGAGTTGAATTTCGAACAAACGATTACACCAATCGCACAACACATCGAGCGAACGCGTATCTATTCACATGCAAATTGTGCAAGTCGATCGGATGACACGGAGAACTTGAGAGATTCTGTGCAACAGATGCTTTTGTAAAACGACCGTTTGGTCAACGGCTGTTGTTACAAATACAACAGCCGGCTGACACGAATATGTTACGTGTCGCGGGATGTTATCTACCGTTTTCTGACGTTGTCCAGAGATTGTTTTGCATGAAAATATCGATGTACTGTTTGCCTGACAGAACAGGGACCGCGAGACGACAACGACGTCTAAACAGTGCCGCAAGCATGTGCTGTTCAGTCTGTTCCAATTTGCGCACTGCGCAATCTCATCGGGGCGTTCATTCTCTTCTTCCTCGTCCCTTCTAGCCGGTCCTTTTATTTTCAATCGCGTCACTCCTTCAACCGCCTTTTCCCTCAATTGTTGTTTTACAAGCAAACGTGTACCTGTAATCGCCTAACCCATAGACTGTTGGCTTTACGCTATCGGCCGATTTATAGCGTAAAAGTGTATGTTCCACTCGAGCAAACGGCATTTACAGCGTCTTCCATTTTGGCCGTAATGCCATTTTAATGATATATCTGCCGACTACAAATCGAGCTAAAACAGAGTGTCACTTCATTCGCCCAAAGTTTTATGTTGATCATGTTCAGTGTAGTGTACAAATAGAAAATATATTTTTTTCAAATGGAAATCACGATTTTCTGTAATAACTCATTAGATGACAAATAAAAATCAACCGCACCGCGTAATTATTTTACAAAAAGAGTATTTACCAAAAAACGATGAAAATCTACACGTTGACTGTCTCATCTATGTATTCTATTTAAATGTAAACTCCTAAAATTATTATCATTTTTATATTATAAAATAACAAAATTTTTAATTATTTCATTTTGATTTATTGGTGGTCTTGGGCGTTCATGAGTTTTTTTATGTGATCAAATTACATCGTATTTTGTCCCATTTACGGTAAAAATTGAGTGATCACTCATTTTGTACGAGAATTTCGCGGGAAACATTCAATGAATATTTACAGAAAACTCATATTTTATAAATATATATAACATATCCTCTTTTTTTACTCTCTACTAAATGTAACTTATCTAATACTTGCTGTGAATAAAATTACACTCAGTATTAATTACTCAATAGCAAACACGAGTTTTTCTTACTTCTTAGGCATTTTTTTAGATACAACTATTTCGACTTATTGTTTCAATTTCGTAGTAATTTTCGCTTAGTGCTCAAGTCTTAAACACTTCACGGGTCACTTTTGACATTGATAAATGTTTAAATCAACTCTTAATACTTTAGCACTCCGGAATAAAAAAAAAAAATTAAGTCGTTGGAACGACAAGACTTATATTAATAGTGGCTAACTTATACTTGGCTGCTTGTTTATTTTGTTTACACTCTTACCAACCTTCATATTTTTCTGATAAAACTTTTTTAGATGAATCCATAAATTAATTTATAACAATGTATCTTGTATAAAATATTGTTAAACAATTAAAAATTTTTTTATAAAAATATATCCTGAATAAACAAGAAAAATAAAAAAATTCGTTATCAATTAGCTGATTGACTAATTTTGTTAAACATTCGTTTTTTTAAGTTGCAATAATATCAATGGTATTGGTTCCAATTCTCATGGTAAGAAATAAAATTATGAACTTTAGTTAAACACCAAGCCGTTAAAATAATAGTATTTCTTTTTGGTTAAGTCGTAGTCCTAAAATGTTTTTCAAAGAATAAATTTTATTAGACCATTAAGTTGTCGACGACATGGTCACTAGATAGTGTCGCACACACACACTAAAAAAAAATACAATCAGTGATCACAGTTGGATGTGAACTGTAAAGAAATCCCAATGGAATATCGTCGGCAAACATGATCCGGCTCATAACATATTGTCAATTCATCTCACTCGATGTACTAACACTTCGTGGTGTGAATAGTAAAAAAAAGGTCAACACAGTAGCTGTGAATAGATGTATCTATTCACTGTGTAATCTTATAAAATTATCAAGTGCGTTATAGAGTCAAAATAGTGTAAGTAAAATGTACTCATGTAATCTTTCTTCTTTTTCCTCGCCTTAATCCCAACTACTTGGTGTCGGCCAAAATGTATTCATGTGATATTTGATTAAATTAAAACAAGTCTGAGCAAAAAGATTTATAATAATTCATTGATTTACATTAGAGTACATGAGAACTACAGAGTTGGATATATTAAAAACGTGCAATTAATAAAACGAGAAATATTATTTGAGTGGTAGCATTTTGTCAAAAGGCAAACGATTATGTGTTCAGTATTCGTTGAATAGCTTACACTTTATAAGTTCACATAAAGTTAAATTTACTCACGCTATATGTAACGAATAAAATATTGTGATAATCAACTTAAAGCTTGAACCTTTTTAACTTTAATAAATGGATTAAATTTATGTTCTCGTCAATTCATTTTTAATACGGGGTCCTATTTATATCAAATTTGAAAACAATTTCATACATTTTTTAATTTCATTTAAACATCCCAAATTAACAACAACAAATACACTCAAAGAACTGCTTCATTTTAGATGATAAATGTAATATATTTTTTCGAATCGGTTAGTTTAAAATTATAAAGAATTTCGGGCGGCACGGCATGGAGTGTCAAGAAAAAAAAACTCGGTCAAAAATCAACAGATTTTAACGAAATGCTTAACGTACTTTTTGAATGTATTTGGATGGGTTTGGTAAAAATTGTAGGTTTTAAATCGAAAAACTCTGATGGCAATGAGCGTTTTTAATAAAATATTTAAACATTCACAGTGTGCTAAAAAAAATTGTCTCATCTTTGCGAATAATTTTCCTAGAATAACGTCGTCAAGTTTTATCATTTGAAAATTGGACATCGTTAAGTATTTTTTCCAGTATTGAATAATTTTTCAATATTTTATTTTATAGTAAGATTCTAACTATAAACAATGCATATATACAATCTTAAAATGTATACTGTACATGCTAAGTGTTTTTGTATCTATTTACTATGACTAATTCTTGATTCATTTTTATCTATTTACATGATAAATAAATTTAAGGGATTAAAATATTAATCTCTAGTAATGAGTTGTATAACTTTTTTAATACCAACCTATACATTTATGCTTTCATGTAATGTAGTTATGGTTCACTGATATATTCAAGCTTATTTTTTCAAATTCATTTACTTGAAATTTCTTATTATAAAACCAACTTGGATACTCAATTATCTTGTCAATTTATGTTAACTAATTAGAGGAATGACTAGGATCCCATGAATAGGGCATTGATTGGCGTGTGCACAGTATAATACTCAAGAGTGTTTATGACATCCAAATTTGGAATAAGCTCAATTTAAACTGTTGACTTCTTATGACAGCCATTCGATTTAATCATCCAATGTATAGTCATTTAATTGGTTCCTAACTATACGGCGTATAAATTATCTAACTTATTTTATGTTCGTATAACAATTAAATATAATGTTTTATGCCATACCACATTACGATTACAAGTCTACCGAGTTGTGAGCTATACTATTACGTTTTTGGGTTAAAAAATTCGGCTAGAGGTTTATTTGCAAGTAAAGTCATTCTTAAAACTTGTAAAAGTTAACAAATCATTGTTAACTAAACTAATCATAGTAATTACGATTACTTTAGTTCCGCAGAAATTGTTATTGCGGAGGTGTAGTTCTGCTTAATATGAATTGTAGAAATCAAAACAATTAAACTGTATAAGTAATGAAAATAAAATTAGTGTTAGTGAGCCAACCCATAAAATCATTTATTAAAAACATATATAACTCGTGTTCAGTGAAAGGCGATAACATTTAAAAGATGTGTTACTAGGGCAAAAAGTTATCCATTCATTATCAAGGTGAATTGAACTTTATACTAGAAAAATGTGTTTTTATTATTATGTTACTTGCATTGATGTAATATTTGATTGTTCATAAAAAAAAAAAAAACGATAAAACTAGATTCAATCATTTCTGATGAAGGGTTGTTAACATAATATCAAGAAAGTAAAATAAATTAAGTATTTGTTAACATAACATTTTCAAAATAGAATTTATATAAATGTACTTATTTTTTAATGATTTTAGATAAATATAACTAACAAATGTGTTTACAATCGAACATGAAATATTATTTTATTTTTGATATAAGTCTTTCTATTGTAAATATTTTTCGATCGTTATATAAAATAAATGTAATTGATACTTAACTAACACATTAATGAAATACACTACTCAACAGCAGTTGTAATGACTTGAAATACTTATATGGAAGATAATAATTGAGTAGCGATATATTTCATAAAACCCAAGTAAAATTAAAAAACAACTCATCACAAAAAAATTGTGTTGCACACATGTAACAGTTTCATTTATTTTAATTAATTTATTAACATTTTCAAATTAGATAAACTGTGAGTGGACTTTCCTATATTTTAACAGCTCATGTTACAGTAAGTAATTACATTATGCATTAAATAATGTTCCGAGTTGTTAATTATTATTATCTACCGAAATGTTCAATTTACAGGTACGACGAACGTGGCCTGTAAATGAACAATTTTACTTTGTAAGCAGAGAACGTATTTAAAAACTGCATGAAATCAGTCGGCGAACATACGTTTTTTACATTTGACTTATACTAATCCATTTTACAATGTTAATTACACATTACTACCAAATATACTTATTGAGTTTTTATTTCTAATAACGTACTAGAAAATTTTGTAATTAACACTTCATAATTTTTCAGTTACAACAGTGTTTTCCTTTCTATAACGACGTGACTAATAACTAATAGATCTCACATGACAAATTATCTAATAAATTAATAACTTGAAAAATGTTTAATAGGATAAGAAATCTCTGTTCAAAAAAAACATACGAATAATACTCTATTTGAATAAATACTTATTTTTGTTAAAACAATATGCCTGTAGATATTATGAGAATATTTTATTTACTTTACATAAAACGTTTGACAAAATAAAAATCTATCCTAAGCATTTTTTTCACAATTGCTTAATTTAAAATATAAATTTCATAGCCATTTAATATCAATAACAATTTATTGGTCAGCTCAATCTATTAAATATCAATATAACCAAACATTATATTGATTATATTATCATTATAAATAATCATTAATTTTATAATCAATAAATGTTAATAGTAGATTTTTATTTTTTTTAATATGCTTTTTTATATTATTGTATGAGTAATTGCATTTATTTTTATTTTCAAAATAGATTTTTCAATCTTAAAACTTTTAATTGACTATGTCCTAATAGTTTTCATTAATCATGATCGCTAAATACCTAACAAGTTGCTATTTTAAGTTGGGTCTATTAATCAATTTCCATTTTATAACGTGTGAACAGTATGCGGTATCTTTAATGCGTTTTCAGTACGATTTTCAATTGTAGATAGTCGTTGTTTTCAATTTTTTAATGTCATGTATTTTATAAATTACGTTGTTAACAATGGTGCTAGTAATCATACAACATTGAACATTTATTGCTCTGTACAAACACCTAAGCGCAATTTTCAAAAAAATCAACTCTGATCTATGTTGTCTATAAAAGTTAAAAGTCGTTCTTAAATCGTTGCAATATTTCAATCATATCGTTTGATTTTACGCTGTACATACATTATCATAAAAAATGTATATTTTAGTATTTTTAGTAATTTCCACAATGAGCAAATAATATTATATTCAACGTAGGGTACTACTATTCAAACATTCTTCAAATTAATGAGCCAGGCGACTAAAATTTAACCGAATCATAAAACATATTTAACGTTTACCGGCTCATGTATCCCTAGGATCTGTATGTCTCTGTGGCAATAACATCACAGACATTCGGTGATATTATTAGACTGTTGTATAATTAAGGAGCGGCGAATATAAGAAATGTATTATTAGTTACGTGCAAGCCGAGAGATTGGCGGTTTGTAAAACATTTTATCGAGTGATGGCTATTACGCGAAAAATAAAATGTAATTTAGTGGGCTACATGTAAGTAAACAATAATGTCTCTACCAGTGGGGTTCGGTTACTTCAGTAATCCATTAGCATTAGAGTAACAGAAGAGTAATCGTTGACCAGAGACATTAGTATTCCCTTTGATGTATCGATCCTCTTTGATAAATGTAATGGATTTAAAGTAGACATGTTTTGCTATTATTTTTCATTTATTTTTATCAGTCGATAAATTATGCGCTTTTGTACGGTTGAAATAATAGTTGGTACTTGGTTGGTTTTTTAAGTGTATGTTTGTTTGTCGTTATTAAATGGATATCAACTATAATGACATTGAAATAATATAAAATGAAAAATTGCCGGTACTCACGCTTGTATGCTCCTGGACAGCGGCCACCGGTCCATTGTAGATTGGTAGCGCATGTTTTCTATTTGTTTCTTGAGCGCATCCCGGTCCATTGCTGAAAGCACACTGGGGTCCATGACTTTGTCGATGTCGTAGCCACCGGCGCCCGCGTTTGCCGCCGTCGATGCCGCTTGCCGCCTGCAGTTGTCGCCGCCCGCCGCGCTCCGTCCGGCTGCTAAAAACGCATGCGTGCACTTACTATGAATTACGTCACCTCTACCAACCGACCGCGTTCCCTTCTACCGACCCCCGTTCCACACGAACAAATCTCCACCACCTGCTACCCAACACAACCGATAACGGAGGGGACGATGATGGTGGGCGGAATACCACACTGCGTACGATATCGATTATTATTGAAACCGAAAAACGCGCGCCGCCACCACCGCCACCGTCAACGACTTTACCACTACCACCACAGCACTCCCTACAGTTGTGTACTTGTGCACCTCACCATTTCATTGCTCCCTCCGACTGTTCACTTTGGAAAACACTTTTTAAAACTTGCATACATCACACGCACACACGACTCTTGCATCCATGTACAGTTGTATATGCTGTGTAATAAAATCATTAATTGTAATTGTTCACACCAACCTGTAAATATAATGTTATTTCCATGGGAAATTTGGAAAATTTGTAATGTAATCCATGCGAGGACACATGTGTAATGAAATGGCGTGTGCACAAAAGATGTATTTAACGACATTTGAAGAAAAAAAATTGCAATGTTGACAGAAAAAAATATTCACACTTATTTTTTTTATTGCTAAATAGATTTTACGATTTGAGATTGTAATACACGTTTTATTTTATTGTTCCGCCAAAAGAAAAACATAAACTTTACACCGATTAAAACCACGAAAAAGGAAATAAAATTGATGAAATCATACCCGGGAAGTCTTTTGAGACATATTCTATTGTTATAGTTTAGAAATTGGTGATTTAATAAAAAAATACAACGTTAAAATTTATTTTTTGTGTTTGTCTTAGTTTTGACTAAAAGAATAACCGCTCGTAAATATAAAATGTTGAATGGATTTTTCAAGAAATTATTGAAGTGAGATTAAGCCTATTTGGAGATTAAAAATGTTCAGGGTTACATTGTTATACTAATAATTGAAAAGATGTTTTTTTAAATTATAAACTTGTGCGAGGTATTCTTTTTGCGTGTTCCCCTTCTTGAGGTTGAATGACCCTACCTCTGACTGCGTTTAATTACTTGTCCCTGACAGATGATCCCTTTTTATGCTTGAAACTAAAAGTTAGGTTTTTATGTCTACTCTTTTAATCCAGAAGAATAATATCTTGGGCAATCGAATTATTTTGTAATAAATTAAATGTTCACAATGTACAATATAATAAATAATACATGAAAAGCTTTTCTATTCTATTTTATTTGTTGAAATTAGTTCATTTAATGATATAAAAAAATTAATTAATAATTCTAATTACTTTGAAATATTTCAATACAGATATTAAAATTATTTCAATTAATATTTAAATAAGTTCTATAAATCGATTTTGTCAGTTATTAATACAATTTTGAAAAAGATTTTATACATTTGTAATCATTGCATATTGTAAAATTGATAAAAAGGATAGTTTAATAAGAATGGTGGTTATGAGGATAACATAGACACAGCATTACTATGAAATATTGAATTTTTTAATAAGGCAAAAGCAAGTGTAGGTTTGATGTACTAACTATAACTACTCTAACTGGCTATAAGTACTCAATAGAAATTATGTGTTATTTCATATAGTAATTTGTGAGGTTCATTTTTGTTTGGATTATTCCATATAAATACATTGTATACTGATATAAAATATGTACAATAAAACCTTTAAATAAAATAAAAATCTCCGGTTCAAAATCAGATTTTCCAATAAAATTACACATGTCATATGGGAAATATCTTCTAAAAGTTAATTTACTAAAATGCTGATACTAACACCTACAATTGAGTTATCTAGGACTTTATATTACGTTGAAACTTTTTTCATGGTACTTCAAATCGTTTGTAGAACATCTGAACGATGAAAATGTGTGACTAGTGGGAAAATAAAATTCCATTAAGAATATAATTGTGTGCACTGAAAAATCTTTTCGATAAAACTAACAAATTTTTTATCAATATACCTTAAATAATATTTTTGTTAAAGAAATTTTATGTCTTTGAGATATTTGTGATACTGGTTGATCAAATGAAGTGTAAAAAGTGACGTGTTACTTCTCAAACATAGTAAAGTTACTTAAGTTACTTATAAGTTTTACTTGTAAGAATCTGTTATATGGTAACTTTATAAAAATGTTTAATATAAAGAATTTAAGAAAATATTTTTAGAAATTTATCCTGAAAAAATTTGTTGAAAAAATTCAATGAAAAATTAAGCAACCATAGAATTTATTAAAATATGTTTCTATAAGTTATGCCAAAATATTGTAGTGATTTTAACTCTTTAAAGTATATTGACATTTCATAAGATTGATGTGTACACGTTATTTGCATTTATCGTTTTACATTAATATTGATACTATCAATAAGCAATGATGTAAATAGATGAACCATTCAGTTTACACTTTATTCATTCTTAAATAGCTTCTTTGATCTTAGTGAATAGTTGAAACTTCAATAAATCTATGATTTTAACACATAATTGTATTTTCAGTATCAAATAGTACGTATTTGAATTGTAAAATTTTGAAATAGTTAATATTAATGACACAATCAAGTGTTTTCTGTATAAGACCTAGGTTTTGGTAATTTTTTTAATTTTTTCAAGAATAAAAATAATCTTGTAACAACAATCATAGAATTTTGTTGACTAAAATATAAATAATCAATTTTTATAAATATTTACGTTTATTGCCAATAAACCATATTACTATTTCATACTACATAGGTGAAATTAAAAGAAGTAAGACGATTGATATTTTTATAATTTCATATTAACTAACTAAACACCTTCATTAAGAATTAGTCGGCAAAAAAAATGTATGGAGTTAATATGATATATTATACACTTACATCGTAAATAACAAAAATTGCCCATATTTCAATGACATTTAATGATTAATCACTAACTCAAAAGTTAATTTTTGCATTACTAAAAATGTTTATACTTAGATAGCAAAATTAATCGATCGGTTTTATTATTCAATTGATCAATATAGGATTAATAATTCGTAAGTTATACAAATTTTTAATTGATACGTTAAATAATTTCTATATTCTTGTTTTAACTATTCTATATAATATTTGTTTCAATTAATTTTTTTATTTAATAAAGCTAGTATGGAAACTATCAGAGAAAATTAAATTTCAGTCTATAGATTCTATAGACTAATTATCAACAAAAAGATTTTCGTAGTTGATTTTGTCTTTAACTAGATAGGAACAACATAATAAACATTGGTTGGATGTTAAAAATATCTATACAAATTTGTAGTAAAAAATCTAACTAGATATGTTAACAAATAAATATAACTTATAAATGTTAAATGGTTTGAATAAGTTTCTTATATTTTAAATAACTGATGGATAAAATTTATTTATTTTGAAATTTTTTTGTTCAATACATTTTTGAGTGTATAAAAACATTTTTTTAATAGATAAGGTCGTTTCAAGAACATTTTAGAAACATAAAGAATTTAAATTGTACGTCAGTAAGAAATACTATTGAATATATTACAAAAAATTCTTCTACCTTTATATTTACTCTCTGAACGAAGTTGATTTCGTTTTTATTTCAATTCGTGTAAAAAAACTATCTTGGTCGGGTTGGGTTGGTAAGACATATTCAAAATGTTAGTGAGTATTATTTACTTAGAATCACTTACTCTCTTGTGGGCCGTAGGACAAGTGTGAATTGTCGGTAAAAGTTATCACCTCCGTTGTTGTCTCGGTTAAATCAAATGGTAAACATTTATACAAAATTCCAAAGAAGAAACAACAAAAATGCAGAAGCAGATTTCGTATGCGGCAAGCGTTCAAATATAAGTCATTGGAAATGAACTTTCTGTCGTCAAATGATATTGCGTTTAGTAATCACCATTAAATAAATAATTCGATTTGTCTCACTGCGAAATCCAATTAGAAACGATAATATATGTACACAAAGAACATGGATGACCGAGGACGAAGGTAGAAAACGTACAAAAGAAACAACGGGCCGAATGACTGTCGGTCGATAACTATTCACACGACTATAATACACTTGATGTTTGAAAAATCGAACATTGACAAGGGAAGCCCTACCCTCAACAACAGCCGACTAATAACGTATTTAATAAACAAGTTTAAGTTGATTTTTTTCTTGTTTTCCTCTATTACGCCACTCGGAGTACTTGTTTTTTTAGCGCAGTATTAGCTCATCAACGGGGAGGAGTTTTCAGTTCTCTGAATCACTTGCTAATGGGCAATATTGTCGTTTGGTTATGACGAACTTCATTTTTATCTTATCCGCCTGAATTCCAAGCAATGTGTAAATGCCATTTTATAAATCAAATCGCTGTGAAAAAGAATGTCGATATAGATATATATAGGTGTTGGTGTAGTCACATAAACGACTGTCGAAAAAAATCTGTCCTTAATGACTTTGGTATTTTATACAACGCGTCGCTCTATGCATAATAAAATCCGAAGGGAAATATCACGAACGAAAACTCATCATCTTTAAAATTAATATTCAGTATACATAGTGGTACCAAAATTATACACTATTCGATTAGATAACTATTCAGTATAATGAAATAAAACTTGCTAAGCGATTAAAATTCGTTAAGTCTAAAGAAAAGTTTTAAATTACAAGGCAAACAACTCAATAACGATTTTCAAATAATTAAACGTATTTTTTAACACTAGTCTTAAAATGTAACAGAAACAAAATGTCAGCGATGAAATTTAAAACCATTTATTAAATACAACATACATAATTTAATTTATCATTAAAAAATATCATTGGTAAAAACATTTAATAATTAAGGTTTTTATTTCAAGGTAGCTTACATGAATTAGGGTTACCCTTTTGCCAAGATTTTATTGTTCAAAATTATGATTTTTAAATTAATGAAATGATTTAATGATAAAAAATTGTAAAAAAGATCTCTCAATAACACCATTCAATAATTTCTAACACGGCGCTATGGTTAGACAATTTTAGTACATTTCG